TTAAATATATAAATTATATTATAATTCAAATTTATAATAAACAAATATTTCTAAATATAAAATTATATTTTAAATTTATAATAATTATATTTAATTATTTATGATTTAAAAAATATTAAAATGAAATTTAGAAATAAAGATGAAAATAAAATATTAAAAGAGATATGATGTTAAGAAAAATATTTTCATCCTGTTAAAAAAAGCAATTATTAAAATCACACTCATTTAACATGAAAAGCTACATTTTAGTTCTTGTGAATTTATTTTTGTTAATATTAAAATAATATTTAGCTAAAAAAATTATATTATGTGAGCATATATTAATTTTTAAATTATGAAATAAAATAAAAAAGAAATTGCACACATACAGTACAAATCATTCAGATCAAACAAAATGTTACAAAGCCACGTGTTCCTCAAGACATTATTATAATATGATATATTGTTCGTGGAGTAACTCGACATGATATCAATCCACAGACAAAAATCGTGAATAATATGGCGTTTGTCGGACAATTTGATTAGATTAATTATGTGAATTAAATTAATTAAATTGATTCTTTTTTTTTAATCGAATGAAATTTCATCCAAATTAATTAAATATGATTTTAATTGTTTTGAATCATAAATTTATATTTTATAAATTTGTTGATATAATAATTAAATCAATTAAAATTTCTAAAATTATTATTATTATTATGATTATGATTATGATTATATTATAATTCTGATTTTAATATTATTTTATAATGTTATAATTTATTAATAACACATAATATGATTACATGAAGACTACATAAATAATGATTGTAAGTTAGACATAGTTATATTTAAAGGATTATCTTAATTTTAAATATTAGATTATGTTTGACTATTTTAATTTTACATTTTTTACATTATTTTTAATTATATTTAAATTTTATTTACATTATTTTAATAATAAATTTTATTTAAATTTTACAAAGAATATATTTTTATTTTAAAAAAAATAAATATCTAAAAAAAATTCAAGAAAATCGATTAAATCAAACTAAATCAAATCATTATTAAATTTTTTGATTCAGTTCAAATTACATTTTTTTTTTATAAATCCAGATCCATACTAAACCGGTAGATGAACGCTCTATGTCAATTGTAAATAATCAAATCCGATTATGAAGTCTGTTTCATTTTTATTTTTTATTTTAATAAATGTCATATTCTTTTTAATACTCATTTGGCGTGTGGACAGCCTTAAAGAATCACATTCACATCACTGCATGTCTCGTGTTACACTTTTACTCATCTACGATTCATGTTATTTTATTTTATTTTTTAAATATGAGAATCCAACTTTAATCCCCAAAAATTTACAATAATAATTCACATGCTGGGAATAAATAAAATTTGATCCAATAATTTACAATGATAAAAATTTACAACCACTTAAGATAAAAATAAAAAAAGAAAAAAAATTGATATTTAATTTTAATGAAAGAATATTGGTTTTGAAAATCTAAAATGACTTGTTCATGTTTTAAAACATGTTACTAATAATTATTTTTATTGAGAAAAATAAATAAGACAAACAAAAAAAACTACAATAAAAAAACAACATTCTCTCTCATTGATAGGAATTAAAAATTAGAGGAGTCCTCCATACTTAATAGATAACTGAATTTTTAGCCCCTAATTCATAAGAGCATTAGACACTTTGTTTATATCTCGAGAATTACTCACAAAAATAATCCTCGAATCCCGAGTCACCATCTTTTTGATATTGCTAACAATATTTCAATGCTTGTGAAGATAACTTTTATGATCCGACCATTCAATCACTAACATCGCCCCAATATAATTTGATTCACAAATTATGTATGTTCAACCTAAATCTTAGCACAACTCCAAACCTTTCACTAAGATTTCAATTTTAATAACTAACAAAGTGAAAAAAAAAAAAATATATATATATATATAAATAAATTATTACGATATTTAATAATTTTATTTACTTATTAATATAATCAAATTCATTTAATAAACTATTAATATAAATTAAATGATAATATGAAAAATTTACATGATATTATATTATAAATAAAGATTTAATTAAGGGTGCTATTATAAAAATGAAATACTTATTATATTAGAAACTTAAAATATTTTAAAAAATTAATATAATTAAATTTTTTGTTATATTTTTAGTTAATATTACACATTAGGACGCAATTTAGCAAAATTCTTCAATTAAACATTTCTTTTATACATTTGTCTTTTCAATTCCATCTCATTTTCGCTACAAAGAGCTAAGTTCATGGTACTAAGCCAAATTGAACTTATAAAAACTGCTTGTTTCATTCTGTCGTGACTTATGTATAAAATGCACTTAAAGACAAATATATTTTATTCCAAAATTAATAATGGATAAATTTCAGATATCAAACCCAAAAGATTAGTTCAAACAAATACCGACCTAATTTTGGCATTTGACAATTTGAAGGAATAAGATTCATATTTAGAATGTGATAGAAAACAAAAATTAAAGCATAAAATAGATGGATTGTCCCTAGAGTTGTGACTTGTTTTCCCAATTCCTTAAGTTGAATTTTATGAATTAAAAAACATTACCAACAGTTGAGTTATGAAATTACTAATAATCCTTGATCTAGTAAGTTAACCGTCTTTATTTTGGAAAAACCTGAAATTGATCATAAGAAATTCATTCATATAATAAAGTATAAAAAATGCATAAGCAAATTAATAAATTAATTCAATTAAGAATTAAGAAAATCAGTTTGATCATACAAATTTTCATAATTCAATTATTTAGAGTTCTATTAATTAAAAAAGTTTGATCATGCACTTTCAATTAATAGCAATAAGAATTGAAAATAGTAAAATAATATAAATTTTAACAAAAAGAAATTCATTCAATACATCATTGAGAGTTCACAAGGAAAAATTACATTACAATCCTGAAATAGGAGAAAGAAAAAAAATACAAAATTAAAACTAAAGCTAGATGATAAAAAGGTGGTGTAGACATCATTATTTATAGTAAAAACAATTAGGACAAACTACTAAGCACGATTTTGCATCTCACCAAACACAACTGTACTTAATAGCTAAGAGTGTGCTTCTTCATCAATAATGACGTGTTTCTTTAGACCAAAGGAAAGCTCAGACATGCTTTCCCAACCAGAAATGCTCCAAAAAAAGAAACACAGTCATTGTTCATACTTCATAGCATAAGTGTGCTTCATTCAATAAGGGTGTGTTTCCTCTTGAAGCACGACCATGTTTCAAGTAAGTACGACAATACATAACTTCAAAGTTCAGAATTACTCTATTTTATCCCTTTAGTGTACATATTTTATCTCTTTGAATATTTTTCCAGTTTACTACACACTTTACAAGAAAAGTGAAGTTTTGTCAAAGACATAATAATAATAGGACAAAATAATCATGAATAACATGTTATTATGTAGCATTTTGAGGGTTTAACACTTAGGGAATGTTTGGTATGCGAAATATTTTTATATTCCTGAAAATCTTAAAGTGAGAATTTTAGTTTCCCGTGCTTAGTAGCTATTTTTTTTTATAAAAAAAAAACAGGAATGTAGTTTCTTGAAAACCATTTTTATCCTTTTCCCACAAAAGCATTCCCATGGAAGAGATGGGAATTCACCTTTCTCAAGTTAGGGAAAAAGTTATATATATATAAAAAGACTACATTATCCATTTTCTAAACAAAAAAAATATACCTTTCTCTCTCTCTCCCTCTCCTTCTATTTCTTTCTCTCTCTCTCTCTCTCTCACTCATACATACACTCCCCGTCTCTTTTCCTCTCCCCCCTCTCTCTGTCTCTATCCCTTTCTACCTCCCCCTCTCTCTCTCCTTATATTTCTCTTTCTCCCTCTCTTTCTCACTCTCAATCCTCCTCTCTTTCTCTCCCTCTCTCTCCCTTTTCCCCTCCCCCTCTCTTTCCTTCTATATCTCCATTTTTCTCTCTTTTTTTTTTCTTTCTTGTATCTCATTATTTCTTGACCTTATCAATTTGAATAATGTTATTAAAGTTTATTTTGTTTTTACACTTTAATGGTATTTAGTAACACTTTTTATTTTTATTTTTGTTGAATTGATAATTTTAATAATTTTTAATTTTTTAAAATAATTTAATATCACATTTGTAATAAAATTTGAGTAAATAAATATATCTAATGAGTTTATTTTAAACAGAATATTTTTGTAAAAAATATTTATAAACTCGAAAATATATTATTGTAATTAAATATGAAAATATTTAATTGTTGGCAATTATGTATGAATATTCCTATGAACTTTTATATGTAATCAAATATGTTTTAGTTATTCCTATGAATCATTATTTCTAAGATTTATAGGTCTTAGGAATCATGTGTATTAAAAAAACTTTTCTCATATCAAACGTTCCCTTAATTATTTGTAAATTTATTAACAAAACATTTAGTTGAACAGAAATGAAGGGAGAGGAGGAACAAATGGTTAAAAACTTGTTTTGTTTAATTTAATTTTTAAAAGAGAAAAAATAAAAAAATTTCTTTTTACCTAATTTTAATTCTGCTCCGATATTTAAGAGTTTAGAATTAATAAGGAGAAAAGACCTCCATCCGAAGACAATTTTTGGCAAGTGTCAAACCAATAATAGTAAGCACACTTTTTAAAAATTATATGATTTTAACTTATTGGTGCACGTACGATACTATTTTAGTATTTATATTGTATGCAGATCTTATGAGTCCCAATATTATATCTTTAAATAAAAAGTAAATATAATAAAGTACTTGTATGACAATTAAGAAAAAAATAATAAAAATGAATACATAGAAAGAGAAGGGAAAGAAAAGAAAAAATTTGAATAAAGGTGTACATATATGATATATCACGTGTTGCATATGGAATTAATAAGCTGGGTATTAAAAAATGAAGGCGTGGACGTGAGATGAAAAGCGCGTTTATACTCTTCGTCCTCTCTATAAATACCTCTCAAGGTTTGCTTGCAAAACACAAGCTTCCATAAAATTAATTTAATATTGCATAGTTAAAGATGTTGGGTGGGATCTTTAACAAGGGTCAGAAGATTAAGGGCACTGTGGTTTTGATGCCCAAGAATGTGTTGGACTTCAACGCCATAACGTCCATCGGTAGCGGCGGCGTTACCGGCGCCGTCACCGGAGTCTTGGGCGGCGTAACCAGCGTAGCCGGTAATCTTGTTGATACTGCAACTGCCTTCTTAAGCCGTAATGTCTCCTTGCAACTCATCAGCGCTACTCAGACTGATGGTTTGTTTTCTGAGTTCTGACTCTACTCACTCTTGCAATAACCCTTTTTTTTCTTTTCTTCATAGTATAAATTTACTTTTTTTTTTTCTTCTTTTGGTCACTATCACTTCTGAATTCTGATACAGTGATCATACTAGTTAATTTTATATATAATTAAAAAAAATTGTCCTTTCTAGACTGGAACCTCAATAATGCAAGGAAAAACAATAAATAATTGTACGTTGCATTTATTCTATTTTTAACATGGTTGATGAAAAGAACAAGAGAGGAATGGAAAAACATGATGAACGATGTGATAGAATGAAGAGATAAATGAGAATGAGGATGATAGAAATATAATAACCCATGATGAAAGGATTAATTAAATATTTAATGTTATGTCAAAAGGAAATGTTTAGTGAATAACTTTTTTGTAAACTTATGATGTCATACTTTTGATTATATATATTTTTTAAGTTATTGTAATAAACTTAAAAGATAAAGTTAACTTGCAAGGAAGAAAGAAAAAAAAAGAAGACAAGAGTCATTTTAAGAATTAACTTCACACTATGTTTTGAAATTAATCCACGAACGAAGTGGGACATGTGGAATGTTATTTTAGACAATTAGAATAATTATATACAGTCACAGACAAGAGGCTGATGTAACATACTTTTTTAATTATTTCAGAGACAGCTATAATTTATAAAATGGAAAATGATGGTTTGAAAGAATAAAGAAACAGAGAAGAAAAAAAAAGACAGATGGATAAATGATAGAACAAAAAAAAAATGCATCATAACAATAAGTCAATGTAATTATATAAGAAAATATTTATATAAAAAAATGATAGCAGACCAAATTTTTATTATTGATCAAAATTGAAAGAAAAACATGAAATTATGGGTAATCCATTAATTAAGATAATTTGTAATAAAAGTTAATGAAGAGCAAATAATATATTTGTTTCCATGTTTACGTTTTGCAGCGAATGGAAAAGGAAAAGTGGGAAAGGAGACCTATTTGGAAAGTCATCTTCCGACGTTACCAACGTTGGGAGCGAGACAAGATGCATTCAGCATTTTCTTTGAATATGATGCTAGTTTCGGAATTCCAGGAGCATTTTACATCAAAAACTTTAAAACCGACGAGTTTTACCTCGTCAGTGTTACTCTCGAGGACATTCCAAACCACGGAACCATTCACTTTGTTTGTAACTCATGGATCTATAACTTCAGAAGTTACCAAAAGAATCGCATTTTCTTTGTCAATGATGTAATAAGCTATGCACCTAGTCTATTTTTTCTTTCAATTATGGTCCCCATCATTTTTTATTTTAATTCATTAAATATATTGCATTGCAGACATATCTTCCAAGTGCAACACCAGCTCCACTACTCAAGTACAGGGAAGAAGAATTGGAGACTTTAAGAGGAGATGGAACAGGGAAACGCAAGGACTATGATAGGATCTATGATTATGATGTTTATAATGATTTGGGGGATCCAGATGGTGGTAACCCTCGCCCAATCCTTGGAGGGTCAAGCATCTATCCTTACCCTCGCAGGGTTAGAACCGGCAGAGAAAGAACTAGGACAGGTTACAATTTTATTTTTCTTCTTAAATTATGTATTAATTCAACCATTTTGTTACTAATATATAACCGTAATATACTAAGAGCTTAAAAATCCTTTTTTCTATTGAAAAATAATTTTTATTTTTGATAAAGAAATTTTCAAAAATAATCCTAACGTGATTAAACATGCTTATGATATAATTGTAAAGTAGTAAATTTGATAATATGACTGACAAATAAGGAATCTTTGGGGCTACGGTATGTTATTTTTATTTCATTTATGGTTGGGCACGTAGATGGACTGTTTTTTGATATTTATTTTACTATTGGTTGATTTGTAACAGATCCCAACAGTGAGAAACCGGGCGAAATGTATGTTCCAAGAGATGAAAACTTTGGCCACTTGAAGTCATCAGATTTTCTTACATATGGAATAAAATCCTTGAGTCAGAACGTGTTACCTTTGTTCAAATCTGTAATTTTTGACTTAAACTTCACACCAAATGAGTTTGATAGCTTCGATGAAGTGCGTGGTCTCTATGAAGGTGGAATTAAGCTCCCAACAAATGTTCTTAGCCAAATTAGCCCCTTACCAGTCCTCAAAGAAATCTTCCGCACTGATGGTGAAAATGTCCTTCAATTTCCACCACCTCATGTCATCAAAGGTACCTTAATTATACATCTTGGTCAAAATAACTAAATATAACATTTGTTGAATTAAATAACTAACCCCATTTGGCAATTATTTGCTTTATCATTTGAGCAGTTAGCAAGTCTGCATGGATGACTGATGAGGAATTTGCAAGAGAGATGGTTGCTGGTGTAAATCCTGGTGTAATTCGCTGCCTTCAAGTAAGTCCAAATGTTTAATGTTAAATTGTTTTATGACCTAAGAAAGAGTTACTATTTGAGTATTTGTCACCTTTCCTCATATCATTCTTTAATAATGGCAGGAATTTCCACCACTAAGCACGCTTGATCCCACACTCTATGGTGATCAAACTAGTACCATAACAAAAGAAAATTTGGAGATTAACATGGGTGGAGTCACAGTAGAACAGGTAATCATATACATCTTTAACTATAATCTTTCTAGTATAGAGGTACTTAAAGCTATATGGTTTGTAATGGGATGCTAAGAAACAAAGTGACTGAAATTAAATTTTGTGGAACAGGCACTTGGTTCTCAGAGATTATTCATATTAGATTACCAAGATGCATTCATACCGTATTTGACAAGGATAAACAGCCTTCCTAATGCAAAAGCTTATGCCACAAGAACAATCCTATTCTTGAAAGAAGATGGATCTTTAAAGCCGCTTGCTATCGAATTAAGCAAGCCACATCCAGATGGAGATAATTTGGGAGCTGTGAGTAAAGTTGTGTTGCCTGCATCAGAAGGTGTTGATAGTACAATTTGGCTATTGGCCAAGGCTCATGTTATTGTAAATGACTCTGGTTATCATCAACTCATGAGCCATTGGTGAGAACTTCCCTAGCAATATTTAGTCCATGTATACTATATAGTGTATGTCAAATTATTATTGATTGAAAATTTTCTTTGCGGGGGTTACATTACAGGTTAAATACTCATGCAGTGATGGAGCCATTTGCCATAGCAACAAATAGACATCTCAGTGTGCTTCACCCCATTTATAAACTTCTTTATCCTCACTACCGTGACACCATAAATATCAATGGACTTGCTAGGCAGTCTCTGATCAATGCAGGTGGCATTATTGAGCAATCATTTTTACCCGGAAAGTACTCTATTGAGATGTCTTCAGCTGTTTACAAGAATTGGGTTTTTACTGATCAAGCATTACCGGCTGATTTAATCAAGAGGTAATCTTCATTAAATATACTTCACTAGAAGAAAACAAAAATTAACCATTAAGAAAACATTAATGATAATATTTTACTTTTATGCATTGTTAACAAATCAAAAATTACGATATAAATGACTTTTAAAATAATTATTATAAAATCAATTAAACCTGACAAATATATCAATTTCTAATTATGGGACTAAAGCAAAAATTGAGAGGGGCTTGTTGAATTTGTTAATGACATTTTTTTCTTGCTTGATTTAGAGGATTGGCAGTTGCGGATCCCTCTGCCCCACATGGTCTTCGGCTTGTGATAGAGGACTACCCTTATGCTGTTGATGGACTAGAAATATGGGATGCCATTAAGACATGGGTGGAAGAGTATGTCTCCTTGTATTACCCCACAGATGCATCAGTTCAACAAGACACTGAACTTCAAGCTTTTTGGAAGGATGCTGTAGAGAAGGGTCATGGTGACCTTAAAGATAAGCCTTGGTGGCCTAAAATGCAGACCCTTGAAGAGCTCATTCAATCATGCTCTATCATCATATGGACAGCTTCAGCTCTCCATGCAGCTGTTAATTTTGGACAATACCCTTATGGAGGTTACATCCTGAACCGTCCAACTCTCAGCAGAAGATTCATCCCAGAACCAGGAACCAAAGAATATGATGAGATGGTGAAGAGTCCTCAAAAGGCTTATCTGAGAACAATCACTCCAAAGTACCAAACCCTTGTTGACCTCTCAGTGATAGAGATATTGTCAAGGCATGCTTCTGATGAGGTGTACCTTGGACAGAGGGATACTCCAAACTGGACCAATCATACAAAGGCATTGGAAGCTTTCAAAAGGTTTGGAAACAAACTGGCAGAAATTGAGGGGAAAATCAATGCAAGGAACAATGATTCAAGTCTGAAAAACCGATTTGGACCAGTTCAGCTGCCATACACATTGCTCCATCGTTCAAGTGAAGAAGGGTTGACTTTCAAAGGAATTCCCAACAGTATCTCTATCTAGAAAAACAAATGGAGTGTGTTGTTTCCTTATCTATGCATTGTGCTTTTGAATAACATACACTATGCTTGTCTATGTGTAATTAGCTAATTATTGTCTGCACTACTGTATTTCGATGTTGTCGATCGGTTTGCAAATAATAAAGAGCGTTTTCACTGTCACTTTTACTTGGTTCATCGTATGTTTTACCAGTAATAATGTAGAAGCTATTGCGTTTAGAAATTTTTTGAGAACCACAATTGATGCATGTATAAAAATAAAATCTCCATATTTTACTGGTTACAACTATTCCTAATTAACCATTACAAAGAGTGATTCCTCAAAAAAAAAAAAAAAACTATAAAGAGTGTGGGATTTATGGCTTTCAAAATTAACAATGTTAATAAAAATTGGGCTGTATACGTTGATGAATGAAATAATTTAATTTCAAGTCAATTGCTCTGGTGGATCCGAAATATCTATCATTTAAAGACTTTGTATAGAAATTAAAATGTTACTAAAAAATTTAATTTTAAGAATATATATATATATATATATATATATATATATATATGTAAAAAGTGCATGCATTTATGCCTAATTTTGTTTAATCGATTCTTATACATTAAATATAAACTTCTATACTATATTATAGTATTTTTAGAAAATTTTCTTCAACGGAAGAATTTGTAGAATTTTTTAACTTCTAATGTAATTTAGTTTTTATTTATCATAACTATTTATAAATTAAATATTAATATTTTAAAATAAATAATCAATAAATAAAAAATTGTCATGATACAAATTATTTATCATAAGTTTAAAATATAATTTATGTGTTTAAAAATATTTATATATTAATTTTAAATATAATTTATATATTCAAATATAATATTTATTTATATGTAGTTTTTTTTTTATAAATTTTAATTATATTTTTTTCGTTCTAGAAAGTTTAATTTTATTATATATATATATATATATATAAACTAAAGTACTAGTTGTTTATGATTTTTTTCTACAAACCACCATAAAATATTATGAATTTTGTTCTCTAGGGACAAACTCATCTCGGACAACTATATTGTTCTTGAACATATGTCTGGCAATGTCGGTTCAATTATGTTTTTCCATAATTTAGTTCAACTGCATGTGCAAATTGCTCCTCTCGACAGTTAATTTATTTGAAATTGCAAACACTATTTTTTGAGAAATGAATAGAACAGTAGTTTGCTTCTCTTGTCTTGAAACGCCAAGTGGAATCACGTTATTAGCAAATGATATGATGCGTGTTTGGATTTACATTACTTTATGTTGAAAAGTTAGTATTATTTTAGGCAAATATCTATATATTTGATTTATGTTGAAAAATTGAATTAATTTTAAGTTAAAGTAACACTCTAGATAATTTTTATATAGGATAAAAAATTATATTGAGTTTTATATCTAACTTATTTTAAAATAAAAACATTTAAACATAAATCATATCACATCAAAATCAAATTTATTCAAAATCATATACATAGTCATGATTATTTTAGAGCATTGTTAAAAGTTTTGAATATAGTTAATTATTAAACATATAAAACTTTGATTAGACGTTAAATGTTAATGCAACCATTACATTAGTTAATTTACAAAGGTTGAATTGTGCTAATGAAAATAAGTGTAATTGACAATAAAGCTTTTACGAATTTATAGAATGATTATGAATTATCCCAACATTATTTTGATAAGTATATCAGTCATACAAGTTATTCATTCAAGACTAAAATGAGATCAAGTTGTGACAATTAGTTGGAGTTAGTGTGGGCTACTTTAGACCTAAATTGAACATTGGATAGCACCTCTCAACACCAAAGAAACATATTCAAGATAAAAACTCAACACAAAATTACTATAACTCATGCTCAATTACTCATAACTCATATACTCTACTCTCTCAAGTCTCAACCCTAACTCACACAATTGATATATTTAATATTTTAGCAATGTGCCTAGCTGTTGAGACAAGTATTCCTTCAGTATTAGGCCAAAACATCATGAAATTGATATATAAAATATCATACAAAAAAATATTTAATTGAAAAAAAAATAACTGTATTATATTTGAAAATATTATGAAAATTAGATTATTTTAGTAATCAATTATAATCAAGATGAAATTTTGTTCGCATAAGTTTGCTGAAAAGATATTTTAAGATATTTAATTTTGTTTGAATATCACAAAAAAAAATAATCAATTGTTATATAGTAATTTAGCTTAAAAAAAATTGTTAAAAAATAATCATAAATTTTAAATTTTTAGTTTCATAAAAACAACACATTCTTAAAGAAAAAAAAAATTGTTTACAAATTTAAGTTGTTGTACTAAACATATAACTTTATTTTTTCAAACTTTTTTTGCAAAACAAATTTTTTCTCTCCAAAAACAACTAAAATTGGAGATTTTAATCTCTTCCAAACACGTAGTATAAGTACAATGACTACAACAATCTTATAACATAAAATAAAACACTTGGAGTGTGTTTCAAAAAGTTATAAAAATTAAATTATTTCAATATTTGATTATATAAATAATCGATTATTATTATAATCAATTATAATCGAAATACAATTTTATTTGAGTAAATTTGTTAAAAAATGATTTTAAAATATTTAATTTTGTTTGGATACAGTAGAAAAATCAAATTTTATATAGTAAATCAACTTAAAAGAAAAACAAATCTGTTGAAAAATAATGATAAGTTTTTTATTTTCAATTTATTAAAATTAGCTTATTTTTAAGCGAAAAAAAGTTGCTTACAAATTTAAACTACTATTCCAAAAGATAAACTTATTTTACAAACAGTTTCTTTTTTCTTCTATAAAGAACAGTTGAAGTGGAAAAATTAATTTTTCCCAAACATGCTCTTGAAAACGCAAAGAAGTTGCGGATGTGCTTGAAATTTCATTGAATCTCCATCAAAGAACATTTCAAAAACTATCCCACCGTACCCTAACACAATCCTTAATTAATATTAACAAAGTTATAATGCTAATGCTTAAATTTTAAATTTTTATATAAAAAATTATACTAGCAAAAGTTAATACAAGTTATTTATTATTGTAGTGATATATAGTTACATTCATTATATATTCAAGTTATAATCACATTTTATAAAACTCAAGTTAATTTAATTATTAAACAATAAGTTAGCCCCTACACACATTAAAGTAAGTACTGCGCAATTAAAACGTAATTAAAATTTTTATTAAAAATAAGTATTGTGGAGGAAAATGAAACACGTTCATCTATTGTTAAAGGAACAAGTCATACTTAGCCAACACATCAACAGGTTGATTAGTATGTGCCTAAAAGTTATGTTATCGTCCTTAATTGTTTATTATTAATTTTCTTTCCACAACGGAAAATTTTCTTTAGCTTAGAATTTCACGATGACATTAACATTTAACCCTATGGCATTAATTAATTAATTAAAAAATTTGTGGCTTTTGTTGAGTAAGTAAAGTTAATGCCAATAAAGAAAAAGAAGGTTGAAGTCTTTAACAACGACATTGAAAGTTTTACTTCTCAAATCATTATTATAGTTATTTTCACAAAGTTCTTTGATGACTCGTGACTCGCGAGTGGATTATAATATATTTTGTTTTGTGAATCAAGGAAATATTATACTAATATTAATTAATGAATAACAGGTACAGTTTTGTTCTTTTGCACCTTTTTTTTTTTAATGAAAACCCACCATGAATTAAAATAATAATTAAATTATTGTTTCTCTAAACTTTAATATCCAAACCTAACTGCCCACGACTATATGGAGATGACATGGATAATAAATGCAAATTAATCTCGCATTTATCTTTTTTTATTGGTTAATAATTTGCCTTTTTTTTATTCTTCAATAATTTGGCCTATTTGATTGTCCATCATCGAGATCTGGATAATATATTCTGGCAACAAATATAATATATTAATATGTGGACATATTAGTTTATTCTTTTATTCATTTTCATTCGTAAAAGAATGACTTAATTTGACATGTTCCACTCTAAAAGATAACTTTCATCGCCTATTGTTTATATTAGGGAATTATTTCTGAGATGTTTGTACATGATATTAATCAAGTGCAATGGATTAGGGATTTATTAATTCATTTTTCTTAACTAAAGACTTGAAAATATCAACTTTTACTATAAAGTCGTAAATATTGTTATTACTTATTTTTAAAATAAATCGATTAGAAAGAAGAGGGTTACACTTCTTAGTTATGAAAAAATATTAATTATTTAGCATTTAAATAATAGAAGTGGGAAGAAAATGACGAGTACGTGGCTTTTTAAGTGTAGAAAATTCATTTACTTTTCGTTTTTCAATTCAACACGGAAATGAGGCGGAGATGTTATTATTTTAACAACACTTTTGTATCACAATATATATTTTTATGTACTTTTGCATCATATGTTTGAGCATTTGATCTAATACAAAACTATTATATTCATTGAGATGGAAGTTATTAAAATAACAAAAGATCTAGCCAACAATCAATAAAAAAATAATGTTTTGAAATGTTACATTCTTTTTTTTTTAAAGTCAAGTGCTCAGGAAAACAATATATCAATTAAAATAAAGTATCTTCAAAAGATTAAATATATTAGCATGGACAGAATCGTTTAAAGAGCTAAAGTATTATTTTGTTCTAATCCATTTGGACATAAATGATTAATTTTTCCGTATTTCTCCTATGCAATCATAACAAGATTATCAAATTGTTAAAAAGAAAAAAAGAAAACAACTCACATGATTCACATTTTTAATAATTAACTTAAGATAATAATTATCAAAAAGTATCGTAGGGTTAAGCTGAGAAGTTGATAACAGGTGAAAACGTGGTTCTTCGACAATTATGATGAATAGAACCAAACAAATAAACGCGTCTTACATCAGCTGATAGACAAATTTTGTTCATACTTTATTTCACATGCCATTGCCACGTACAAACAGCCAGATAAGGTTTTGAAACTATTATTTTTTTTTTTGGTCATTACCAAAAATAATTAATTTTATTTTTTGGGGTGCCTGAGTGTTATAGATTGCATAATTATATTTATTATTACCGGTAGGTATAGTGGCCACGTGGAAGTCTTCTTAAAAAATGTGAACACTCGACTTTTTTATTTATATACTAGCAAGG